TTTGGAGGCAATCTAAACAAGGCATTGATACAAAAACAGGTCACATCCTTCATCGTCATCATCAGTCCTGATGTTTGCTGGAAAGATTTCAAGGGTACTCAAGGTTAGATGAGATTCGCCAAAACATATGGTACAATGCCAATGTACAGATATCTATTCGGTTAACAATGGACATGCATAATGAAGAAAGCACATTACTGCTACCTTAATATACTTATGATCAAAGTGGTTAAAGACTTGTCATGATCATTCTTCAGACATGTGACCAACCTTGATGACACTATTCAGACATGGGGAAATTACACAAGAGTTAGCTACATGGTCATAAATATTGATGCTTACCTGGAAACCACAAGGAACATCAGCAGTAGTGAAGTACAACAATCTCAACAACATAAAATGTATCACAACAATTAGCTTTGGACGTTATTTGTTTCTCCTGTTTATGTATATATTTCTTCCATCTCAATCATCTGATTTTCGGTGTGAGAAAAATTCTGAAAAAGTTTACCATTCTCTGTAGCAGGTGATATTATGTTCAATGTGTGACACAGGCTGCTAGCATGACCAAAAAAAAACCTCAGCAAGGTTACAGATAGACAAAGGATCAGGAACCTGAAAAAGAAATTAGAATTCTTAAGTAATGAAATGTGAAAAAGAAAACATGTCAGTATAGTTGGAAAGCTATGGACTCTACCTGATTTTCAAAAGTCACAAGATCACACATCCTGCATCCTTCTAAACACCTCATCGGCCTGTTCGCTTGGTCGTAAACGATCGTAAATTTTCAGCCAGAACAGTATTTTTCTCTCACACCAAACCAGACAGCAGTAATAATCCACGATCGTATACAATCGTTTCAGCCCCAGCCGAATAGGCTGCATGAACAGATGAGGGATCTACATCACACCTGACACCCTCACCTCCATACTGTACAAAGAGGTATTCTCTCGAAGACATTGGAGGGGGCAAAAGATCTGATACCAGCGCTAGATCTTGGTTGGGCAGTAAAGGTTCCCTTTGGTTTAGTGAGTAGTAGTGTAGTACACATCTGCCAGGAGAAGCCAGACAAGGTCACAGCATCTATACAGGCAAGGCCTGCCAATGCCCTTATAGCAGCTTCCTGCAAACCTGTCAAATTACTATAGGCAATTACCTGTAAAAATTAAGTTGTTTAGTTGAAAAAACTATGAAACATATCTCTTTATCTGTCTTTGAAATAACTATAAAACGTCCTCTGGTTTCCACCTATTTGAAGATGCTATGAAAATTGAAATACGTTAAAGTACCCGTTTAGTTGACATTTTTGCAGCGGAAACACTTTCAATAAACTAAATCAAAAACAGCCTAAAGAGACTGCATCTATTATATTAATACAACAGAATCAAAAGGAGCCTCCACGTTCGTCGAAAAGGTCACAAATTATGGGATTATAATCAAAAAAAAATATCCATAGTTGAATTTTATGATAATTTAACAGCTCAGATTAAAACGAAGAATACAATAGATTAATAAAAAAATCTACACCATTAGATTTTATGATGAACGAGTGGTCTAGAATGACGAAAGAATCCATGATAGATACGATAAAAAAAAAGATTGGTTGCATGCTATCAAAATTAGTAGTTTTCCATACGAACTGTGGAACAATATTTCTAAATAAAGAGTCCATGTCTTATTTGGAAGGAATAGAGAGTCCATATAATATATATTTTTATTTTTTCATTAAAAAGGAGAGATATATATGGTTTGTCGAATTGTGGTCGATCAAGTCTAAATGTGAAGCAAGTCTCCGTATCTTATTGGTGAAACTGAATACTTGAAATTCAACAGAACCCCTGTTTTCTTGTTTTTCTTCTTTAACCATAAATCAACAAATTTTTCTACCTCCTTTCTTTTTCATGTATTTTTCTGATCAGGAAAAATAAAAAATTATGTCAGTTATTTTTAAGTTATTCTTATCTCGTACACACAAAAAAATTGCAATTATTCATCTACTGCTGGAACCTTACTATTATAACTACATGTAGAGAATGATTTGATACATAAGGATAAGTACATCGCTAATTTAAGAAATTTATATTTAGAGAGCATGGAAAAAACTAAAAAAGTGCATGGATCACACACGATTATAGCCAAATATAAAGAGTCTAGAATAAATAATATGACTATAGCCATATAAGAAGACTTTAGGGTTTAGGACCAAGAAATTATAAGATTAATTGAAAAAAATATGTATTCTTGGATTTTAGTATGATCTAAAAAGAATCTAATAACATCTCTGGAACATTGGATGAGCGGGAGAAATTAAGGAAAAATCACATCAAACGGTCAGGAATCTATTTCAAGTTCACAAAACAATTTCCACGTGCTTTTGAAAATAAATAAAATTGTTTCTAACCTGCATTAGCATAGAAGTAAGAGATTACATTCACAATAGCATGTTTAGTTTGAGGACTCATTCCATCCTATGTGAGGTGGTGCATTATGAATTCATTTTTTAAATTTTGTGAAACGATTCCATTCCTCACACTAGTGTTAATTATTAGCTTATGAGTAATGAGGTGACGATGGATCAACTTATTATATTTCACAAACCAAACAGAAAAAGCGGGGAATGAGTAGACGATAAACTACCAAATTCATCAAACCAAAGGTATCCAAACATGTTCGGCGTAATGGAGAAAAGAAAATTGTTTCTTAACCTGTTCAATTCACCTGGCCATATGTAAGCATAGAAGAAGTCAATTCCGCTTGCATGATGCCGTGCCCGTGATGTTAGGTTCGTACTACAATATTCCGTTTGTTTTTACCTCAATCAGGCTCAGTGATGAGTACAATAGTATAATGTCGCACTTGCACTTAACAAATGCACACGAAATGTGACGGATACAACCGGCCTCCTCGTCATCTCGTTTATAAAAGTGTTCTAATCTTGTTAATCATCTCGTTATCCACGTTGGGTCGCGTTGCGATTATTGATCCAAGGACCAGCTCTCCCATCTCACACGCTCTGCCATGGATGGGTCCATGTGGTGCGGTGCAAACTACGTGCCTCTGACGCCGAGACGCTGGAGACGCTGGAGCGGTGCCTCGCCGGGGCGTCCGCGCTCGCGCATCTCGGCGTCGGCCGCCGAGACGTGGTAAGCCACTGGAGGATGACGAGCTGTTTGCTTTTCCGTGTGATGAGGAACGGCTGGTGATCTCTACTTTACCGTGTGCTGCGGATCAGGTCGCGGTCATCGCCTCGAACGTTCCGGCGATGTACGAGCTCCATTTCAGCGTGCCCATGACCGGCGGCGTCCTGTGCACGCTCAACACCCGCCACGACGCGACCATGGTGTCCGTCCTGCTCAAACACTCGGAAGCCAATGTCTTCATCGTCGAGTCGCAGTTCCTCGCTGTGGCCCGTGACGTGCTCAGGCTCCTCGCCGACGCCAAACACAAGCTTCCTCTCGTCATCACGATCTCTGACGCCGCCTCCAGCAGCAACGGCAGCGTCATGGAGTACGAAGCGCTTCTGCGTAGCGCGCCGCGCGGCTGCGACATCCGGTGGCCGGCCGACGAGCGCGACCCGATATCGCTGAACTACACGTCGGGGACCACGTCGAGGCCCAAGGGCGTCATCTACAGCCACTGCGGCGCGTTCCTGAACTCGCTAGCCACGGTGCTGGTCAACGAGATGACGACCATGCCCATGTTCCACTGCAACGGGTGGTGCATGGTGTGGGGCACCGCGGTACGGGGCGGCACGAGCGTCTGCATCGGGAGCGTGATCCCCAGGGTGATCTTCGACCACATCGTGCGCCACGGCGTGACCAACATGGGCGGCGCTCCCACGGTGCTCAACATGATCGTGAACGCGCCGGCGGCGGAGCGGAAGCCGCTGCCGAGGAGGGTGCGCATCTCCACGGGCGGCGAGGTGCTGGCCAAGATGGACGAGCTCGGCTTCGACGTCGTGCACGGGTACGGCCTCATCGAGACGTACGGGCCGGCGACGATGTGCCTGTGGAAGCCCGAGTGGAACGCGCTGACACCCGCGGAGCGCGCCCGGATCAGGAAGCTGCAGGGCGTCGCCCACACCATGCTCCAGGAGGTCGCCATCAAGGACCCAGTGACCATGGAGACCTTGCCCTCCGACGGGCGCGCCGTCGGCGAGGTCATGCTCCGCGGGAACACGGTCATGAGCGGGTACTACAAGGACAAGGTCGTCACCGAGGAGGCCATGCGCGGCGGGTGGCTGCGCACGGGGGACCTCGGTGTGCGCCACCCGGACGGGTACATCCAGCTCAAGGACCGGTCCAAGGACATCATCATCTCGGGCGGCGAGAACATCAGCTCCATCGAGGTGGAGTCGGTGCTGTTCGGGCACCCCGCGGTGCTCGACGCCGCGGTGGTCGCGCGGCCCGACGACCACTGGGGCGAGACGCCGTGCGCGTTCGTCACGCTCAAGGACGGGGCGACGGCCACCGCGGATGACATTATCGGCTTCTGCCGGGCACGGCTGCCGCACTCCATGGCGCCCAGGACGGTGGTGTTCAGCGACCTCCCCAAGACTTCCACCGGCAAGACGCAGAAGTATCTGCTCCGGGAGAAGGCCAGTGCCATGGGAAGCCTGCGCAAGCCAGATCGAAGCAGGCTCTAGTTGACTTGTTTCTGGGAACAGGCCATTATATTCGTGGCAACCTGCTGATAGTTTATCTTGGTCAACTCTGGTTAGCCACCATCGATCAGAGCAGCCGGGAATTCAGTCATGCACTTATGCTTTCGTAACCACCATGTTGCACATGAACTTGTATGGTGAAATGATATAACAGGACCTGGCTATTCATCCCAGATGCAAACTTATGTTTGCTTTATTTATTCAAACAGCTAGACCAATCGCCAACAAAATCTGGATGAACCAGAGCAACGTAAACATCACTCGTAAGTTACGACAGCAATCCGAGTATCTGACAGTGGCACATCATATACCATCTACAGCTCTAACCTCTATAGCATCAAAGGAAGCAGATCATTATCAGCGCCATGTGGAAGGCGATAACGGACGTCCTCCACATGGACCCGGCAAACTCCGATCTCGCAGCTCCTCCCTCTGAAAGACCAAAGTACCAAACAATCAGAAACCTATCACAGTTCAGGCACACAATATGCTCAAAAAAATGTTAACGGCTGCAGAGTTGCAGGCTGTTACTCTGGCACGCAGTCTCATTTGCAGGCACAAGGCTGGTATGTATGGCGAGAGACGTGGTGTTGGTATAACCGCTGTACGCGCACATCCTGGACGCGCAATCGGTGCCGTTGGCCCTCCCAAGCGTCAGGCCTCCACTGCACGCCGGCACTGCCGGGCACCTTCTGCCTTGCATTGGACTGCAGTCTAGGCTGGTAATCACATGGGAAACAATTGTGAATCGTCATGGTCCCTGATCTAGAGACCGCAAACGAGAAATGGGAGCTTACTGCTCGTAGTTGCTTGCACTGCATTTGCACTGGATGCAGTCGTCTGCGGTGAGCACGTAGGTGCCATTCGGGACGAGCAGGTTGTAATCAGGCGACGTGTTGCTGATCGATGACTGGCAAACTGCGAGCACAGAAATTCCATGAACAGTTAGTACATACCGGGTTGCGAAATCCCTTTTGTTATCATGAAACAAAAGAGAGAGATTGAGTAGTAGTCAAAAGGATGTGTCCAAATATCTTTGACAATTGTGACTTGTGAGCAGTCAGAATTAGCTTAGTTAGCTTTTCTGTGCTAGTCGCATGTTCAGACACGAAGTCAGACAGTTTATCCGGTGATAGCAACGTATAACAACTTATATGAATAAAAAGTTGATATCTTAAACGAATTCTGAGTTGTGGTTTCTTGAATATTCAAATAGGTGGACTTGTCCTGCCACACAGGATGAACCAATAGCGACTTGTCTAAATGCTCCATGCCGTCCATAATGGTGGTCTGAGCTGAGCCTATGAGGCCTCTCCCTCTTTGAACAACGGAAACATGCATGTGCAACAACCTTGTCCAGCTCACCAAGTCGTCAACAGATCTTTTTTAAACAGAAATGCTATACAACACATATGTGTTTTAGCAAAAAAAAAACACATAGATTTTTTTATATCTATGATGTCATAACGAACACATAGGGCATGTTCATTTGGGGGGCTTGGTCTTTGGTGTCATAACGAACACAGAAACACCTCTCGATCTGTGATTTGTCCTTCTATAACAGAATAAACACCTTTTGATTTGTCCTTCTATAGATTTTTTTTTTTGATCTGTGATCTTGTGATTTATGATTGTCTTGAGATAGAAGAAGGCTAGAGGCTGGAGGTAGAAGAAAGGTGAAGGCTGTTGGATCTTAATCTTATGGTGCTAAAAAAATATGATGGAACTGCATAAAACACATGGTTGTGTAGTAGACACACTCTTGATTTGGGCATTTAGCAGACCTATATGTCACCTAGGAGGAATTTATGAAAGCGAAACAACAAATCCCTCTGCTTCCCAGTCATGAAGTCATCTTTCTTCTTGTAACAAAAATTTCACCACTTCTATGTCTCCTACGTCCTAAGCAGAACTACTAGCATTTTTCACTCCATCATCCTCACAATTCACAACTAGGTTTGGATTCATAAGACTGGAAGCAACATGTGTACTCAGGAGCGTAGTAAGACGAAGAGAGAACACGCTTACCAGGGAGGGGGACATCCAGGATCTGCCCCTGCTTCAGGCTATTGGGGTCGGTGATCTTATTCACACTCAGCAGCGTGTTCTCGATCACCCCGAACTTGGCGGCGATTCCAGGCGGGTCGTCCCCCTTGGCGACGCTGTACGCGAAGTGCATCACGTCGGCGCCGTCCACCTGGTCGCAGGTGCAGGGCAGCGGGATCCTCAGCTTCTGCCCGATCTTGATGAGGTTAACGTCGGTGATGTTGTTGGCGGTGGCGATCTCCTGGTAGGTGACGAAGGCGTCGAACACCTCCCGGGCGATGTGGTCCAGCCCGTCCTGCGGGTACACCACGTAGATGGGGCCCCCGTCCGACTGCCCCACGCCGTTGCTCCCGCACAGGCACCGGAACGGGACGCGGACCGTGGTCTTTGCTGCCAGCGGCGTCGAGGCCGGCGTGGACGCGGGGAGGTCGTTGGCGCCCAGGAGCTCCGCGAGCGTCGTCGTGGTGTTGAACCGGGTGACCAGCTCGCCGTAGGTGGTGGCGTTCGGCACCGCGTATCCGATGGCTGACTGGCACGTTTTGCCCACTGCCTCGCAGGTGAAGTTGGTAGCCGAGGCCGGCGCCGCGAGCAGGAAGAGGAGCAGCGCGGCCAAGGCGGCCGGTGCGGCCAGGCGGGCGGCGAACGGCGTCATGCTGCTGCCTGCGCCGCGGCGAGGGGAAATGGGAAATAGCCAAATAGGCTTTGGGAGGGAGGGAGGGAGGGAGGTTCGAGTGCTTGTTTGACGGGCTCGAGTCGAGTGGCTTAAATGCTCGCGCCGTGGACCCCTCTCTGTTTGGTTGCCTTGAAAGAAAAATGGAGGAACTGTACTTTTCTGCAAAATTTATTCATCATGTGGAGAAGTTCCGGAGGTTGAACTCGTGGAAATCTGGCCGGCACAGGGAAAATGCGAGAGGCTTTCTGGTGGGCCGAGTGGCCTAGTCGCACTAGTTCCGGCTTTCGCACTAGTTCCGGCTTCCGACGGGCGTTATCGATGATGGCCTGGGGCGTCGACCGGCGACCGAGACAGCCTGGCTGGACCTTGGACGCGAGGAAAATGGCCGAGTTTCCAGCGACCTGAGGTAGACCTGTCGACATCACGCGGACGCGCACTGAGCTTAAGCGCGTTCGTGCTGTGGAAAGCTTTGTCCACTGCCTTGAGACCAAGTCGGGAGTACAGAGGCTCATCTTCAGCGAGCATTAGCAAGCACACAGGGGCAACACAACCGTGGGGGGCCGTTTGATTATTTCATTCACCTGGTTCCCAAGCAAAAATATCCCAATCAGAGGAACGCTAGGCCATGTTTGGGAGGAAAGGAAAGCGTAGCAAAAAGAATGAACCAACCAATGAACGAACGGACGCAGGAAACGGGGTCCATCAACTTCCTACAAAGAATGTTTCCCTTACAGGCAAAATTTGGAGCCTAATAGTAGAAAGAAAAATTCGTTTGTGCTGGCAGATCTAATCCTCTCCATCCAGAGGGGAAGGAGGAGGCATGCCGGGCGGAGCGTCCTTTGGTGGGGGCGCGGAGCTGAAGTCGATGGCCGGGAACACTCCGGGTGGCCTCTCCACGGGTTGTATGGACAGCAGCTGTGTCGAGTCTCCGACCACATCGGCCCATCCATAATGGGGCTCCGCCCTGGTTCAAATGTTTGCAAACCGATGAGATTCAAATGTGGCCAGCCCTTGGACATATTAGCGCCAAGGAGATGTTTCAGAGCATCAGCGGAACAAAGGTCTTACTCATAGTATGTCTCCTCGTCGACTACCAAATCCCAGCTCTCGACAGTTGTGCTCTTTCCATACTTATGGACTTTCCTGAAATCCAAGACAAATATGGCTTAGTTGTGATCCATTTGTAGCAACGGAACAGAATAGTTCGACTTCGAAACAATTTACTACTAGTATCAATATCTAAATAATAATCATTTACATGCTAATAATATGTTGGGAAAACTCTCCAGTATAAAATACTAATAAGATGTCTGAAAAGTCTGTAGTCTAAATGCAGCCCAAATTCCAGTCAAATGACATGTACAATGCTAGACCAAAACATTATTATGTCACGTACCCATTACCAAAGTGTTCTTCTCCCCAAGTTCTTGACCAGCCTGAAAGTTTCAACACAAGTGAAGTATCAGCCTACATATTATTCCAAGCAAAAGGTGACACTTTATATCTCCATCATAAAGTAGTAGGTCCAGCACCATCAAAATGGAATGATAAAAGGCTGTAGCACATTTCAAAAGTATACATGATATAAAGGTGCGCTCATATACTCGCCTAGACTTCAAAACATGTTTGGAAATTCGCATGATCTTCAAGCGACCATTTTCGCATAAAATGAAACTAGCATAAAAAACATCAAATGGCAAACCTAAATGTTTTCTGTCATGATGGTCATACTTAGAAAATGATTAGCGTATTCTAAAAACATGTTATGTTTTGCAATTGGAGGGAGTACCATATCTTAGTTACTTGCATACATATGAGAAAAATGCGGTGCACATACAGTATTTAGTGGTGATGGATCTTACGTTCACCGCCAGGAGATACATGCCATGTCTCCCCTTGTCGAGAACCAATTCCTGCAAAGAATTTTTCCTCCCACTTGTCCCCCCATTTGGTGCCTAAGTCTGTCTCTGCCCACTTATCTGTCCTGTTAAGAACATTCATGCAATGCAGGTGTTATCAACCACCACTGGCAGTCGAGCAGACAAAGTACCAAAACAGCTTTCCAATGTCTGAACTGTCAGTACAAAATTGAAATAGAAGGCATCAAGTTGTCCCTCAGAAAAACTCCCTATCACATTATCACTATAAACTATATGCCAGTGTCAGACGCGTATCTTAGCGTAATTAACCAACCAATGAACATGCGAACACATAATAAGCAACAAAATACACTGCTGTCGGATTCAGGCAATAAACATTGAAGATTAAGCACAACACCAGCTGTATAAGGATTATCATCTTATATGGCCACATAACTAGTGGTAAAAACATTAAGAGGCTCACCATTTCAAAACAAATCCACGGCCATCATAATGTTCACCCCATCTCTCCCACCAGGACTGCTCATTCAACCTTCCATATTTGTGAGCACCTTTTTCTGTCCAACCTTTGGCATCATATTTCTCCCACCTGTTATAGAGAAAATTGATCGGTAAAAATAACTTTACAGAAGACGTTCAACCAGAATCATGCAAAAATATGATCCATTTCTCACCATTTCTCATACCACCCAGCATTTTCTACACCTGATTTTGCTTGTTTTTCAGCACTTTTCTCTATTCTTGCAAGATTGCTGTATTGGGCAAGGTAAACCATGTCAGTGTCCCTCAAGTGAGATTGTTCTAACTTCTAGCTTTGGATGGATATCAATGAAGAAACTGACACATATGGCAGGTATAGTTTAAGCAAAAGGTTGGGCTAGAAGTCCGACACATACTGACAGAAACACCAATGGATGGGCTGGATCTCCAAATAGGTATCAAGAACAATGACATAGCTGATCATTTGTTTGCAGATTGTATTGGAATCCTGTCCGTGCAATAACAGCACACTAAATTTCGGATCTAATGATCTAAATAGCATAGATGTATAACTATTATACAATGTTATAAGCTGCAAACAGGTGAAAACTAATCTTAAGTTCTCAGCAGAGCTACGGAATCACCATTGATTTCAAAGTAGCCTTAAAAAATAAGGCTAAAAGAAAGTCTGTATACATCTCTATGTTACAAAAAAAGGTGAGTTATGCTTGCAGTTGAGATTAAACCTTGTGTCCAACACAAGGGCAGGACAGGTATACTTAAAATATCTGAATCTACAATTTAGCTAATTTACCTCCATTCATCTTGGTACAGAACTTCTTTCCATTTCTCCCACCAAGAATCGCCTTCAGCATTCTTCCCAGATTTCTCCGCACCTAATGTTTTATAATTATTACATTGAAAAGTCAGTCACGAGTTTGTAACAGATGCAAGCAATAAGCATAAATTAAAGAACAAAAAGCAAAGGCATTGAACATAGCTACGAACGAAATTTGCATGCTCATGCACAAGAATCATGCTGATTAAACACTTTGATTGATAATATGACTATGCTATCAAAGAGGAAGAGCCTCCAGTATAAAAGAATAATTTGCATACCTAATTCCTTATATCCAGTCCAGTCACTTTTCTCCCACCACTGCCACACAGAATAATGTTACACAATGTTGTTAAGACTTGAAGTAAACTAAACAACAAGATTACTGAACTTGCAAACTTAAGTAGGTCCTTTAATGAAAAAGAATGGTTCTTAGAGCAGTATTTTGTAATTTTCAATGGAGTTGAGTGTTTAGCTTTGGGGTCTTACAGTCTCAAACCTGTAAGCCGGATTGAGTACAGTGAAGTTGAAGCCAGATGAAAGCTTGCATGCTCCAGTGTGCATGCTAGAGTTTTTGAGCGATTCAATAATTTTCATGACTATGGAATTACCTAAATTCAAAAGGTAATGCTACAAATGTTCAAAATTTAGCATCAAGAAAATCAAAGCAAACCCAAACACTAAAAGTCATATTGGCAGACACATAATAGTTATAAAAAGGTAGTAGGAACTTGTATATTGTGCTTAAAGTTGAATTCCAACTCAAGCACATCTCCTACAACTAAAAAGAACAAAGCGTGGACACTTTTTGGTGCGGCATTTGTTTTGGGTCTGCCTCTCCCCACCCCGTGCGATCCACGAGCGCTACGTCAGCCTGCCTTTCACCTGCGATCCCTCCCCCCTCCCACTCGGCCACAACCACGAGTCCACGACGCACAAGGAGATAAAAATGGAAAGCCAGCGCAATCACCCCGAGGAATTGGCCTTCCTCCAACGTCGCTAGGCTTCAACGCACCCCCGTTGCCGCGACAAGCCCCGGCTCCTCGTCCTCCCTGCCGTGCCGCCGCCGCATCCTCTCCCTGAGCCGTCGACCTCGCCGTTCCCCGCTTGACGTTCATCAGATCGTGGATTCAGGCGGGGCCAGCGATGCCGGCTCATGGATCTGGTGCAGTGCCCTTCGAGATCCGGCTCTGCGAGGCTCGGCGAACTGCGGCCAACAGTGCCCGGCGCGGAGAGGCTCGAGCGCCAGGCCGCCAGCATGACCAGCAAGCACCGCCGCCGGTGACAACGCCTTCGGCTCTGAGCACCGACGATGCCGACGAGGAGGCCGCAACGTTCCATGACATCCACACTCTAACGCCCGACCCGCCGAGGATGAGGCCCCCACGCGTGCGGGCTCTGCGTCCTGTCATGGGACACCAACACGGACCACCACTCCTTCTCCTTTTAGGAACAGTACATGACGATGAGCCGCGAGTTCGCGGCCATGATTGCAGCCGGGGCGACCATGCAGACCGGCCCCAACACCAAGATTGAGGTAATCATCGATCAACGAGGCACAAAGCTTTTCTCCTTTTTACCTTTTTTTCACCTCTGCTGAAAATTTCTCTTCTAGATTGTCATCAGTAGTGTTGACTGCTTCCTAAATTAACCAATCAAGTCTATCGGCAGTCGAGCTTCACAGTTCTATGATTCTATCGCAAGTACAGAAAAATAAGTACTGACAAACTCAATCTCTATATACGTACACAAATAAATCTCTACTGGATGTAAGTGATCTC